TTTGCACTACATGTATTACTGCAGAAATGTCGAGATCAAAGGAAAGACGTCTTTGCTGTATTTATTGACTATAAAAAGGCCTTTGATCGAGTACAGCATCACAAATTAATTACAATATTAAAAGATAAAGGAGTTGATAGTCAAGACATACGATTCATAGAAAAGTTATACTGGCGTCAAACAGCGACAGCTTGCATAAACGGAAAATCAACAGAAATATGTAAAATACAAAGAGGTGTCAGACAGGGTTGTATACTATCCCCACTGTTATTTAATTTATATTCAGATAGAATATTTAAAGAAGCGCTGCATAATTTGGAATGGGGCGTGAAAGTTAATGGAATTCTGATAAATACAATCAGATATGCAGACGATACAGTTATTTTAAGTGATGACATGAATGGATTACAATGCCTTTTAAATGCCATTGATACAGTGGGAAGAGAGTTTGGCCTAAACATAAACTGTTCAAAAACAAAACACATGGCGTTTAGCTGTTTAGCACATCAAGATGCACGATTATAGGTTGATGGTCATATAATTTAAAGAGTGTCCAGTTTTAAATATCTTGGTTGCCATATTACTAAACAACTAGATCCAGATCAAGAGATAAAATGTAGAATCGAGATAGCCACCACGACATTTTTAAAAATGAGGTCATTCTTCTGTAATGATAACTTGCAACTTCAACTTCGAAAGCGCATGGTTAAATGCTACATTTGGTCAGTCCTCTTATACGGTGTCGAAGCATGGACATTAAAAATATCCACCATTAATCATCTGGAGGCCTTTGAAATGTGGCTGCACAGACGTATACTAAAAATTCCATGGACAGCTATGCTGACAAATGTGGCAGTCCTTGAGAGAGCAAATGCTGCTCGCGAGCTGCTTGATAACATCAAATGTAGAAAATGGCCTATTTTGGACACGTAGTAAGGGGAGACCGATATAATATTCTTCAACTTATTATGATGGGTAAAATCGAAGGACGCAGAGGAATTGGTAGAAAGCAGGCCTCTTGGTTGAAGAATATCAGGGAGTGGACAGGAATAAAGAAAGCTAAGCAACTATTTAGAATAGCTCGAGACAGAGACAGTTTCGCCATGTTAATCGCCAACGTCAAGCGGACTTGATAGGGCTCGTTAAAAAGAAGAATATATTTTATAACATTTAAATACAATTTTATTTATAATACAAATTATCAAATGATATTTATTTCAGGAATTATTCCTTATATAACGACTGCTACGGGAAGTAATGGTGTATGCTGTGTGCTTTGTTTGACAAGTCACAAAATTTGATTGGTCGAAAGGAATGAAGTACTATGTAAAATGTGTGTGTCTGATTGGTGAAAAGGAGAATAACGGATTAAAGTGAAGAAAGTTATGTTTTACTCTGGAAAAAGAAGATTACTATGCTTTGGATGTCGAAAGAAGCAAGTTGTTTTTGTTGCATATCCTGCAGTGTTATTTAATTTACTGTCGGGAGGTAAGCACATTTATGTGTGTGACTGCGTTCGGTAGTGAAGCGAATAAACCGGTATAGAAGCGGTTTAAAAGCTAAAATTACTATTTATTTAAATGTTTTTAACTTGAAAGATAAACAGAGACTACAGAAAACAACAACATAAACGCCAAAAGTGTCAAAAACAAGCATATATGGTCACAAAATTGAGACGCAATATAAAACAGTGAATACAACTTCCAATGAATTTTTATATTTAAAAATTGCAATGTAATTGTTATTGTAAGTGCAAACTGTACTTGCACACCTGTTGAACTGAGTTATTTATATCGTAGTATTTTACAAATTGAGAGATCTGTATCTAATACTTGAATACTCTTAATATGTTTTATTTAATATCATCAGACATGACTAACTTATCGTGGACTGATTACTACTACGGTACTTTTTTATAACAAGGCAAATAGTTTACTTCACTTATCTTAAAATTGAATAAACCAAATTGACGTGTTTTGATACAATGTTAATAATATTTCTAGGTACCTACTTAAATATTGCCGTTAATAATTGATTTGCTGGTAATATTTCAAAGTCATTTCCGTTAGACCGTGAGCCATTCTGTCTCCGGCTCCTGTACATAATGTTGATTCGCCTATTTTTTAAAAAAATTTAAAGTGTTTGCTTTGTCCTTGTGTAGTGTAGTGTGATGTTCCATTTTATGTTTATGACATTTTTTTCTTGTCGGATAGGTCGCAATTGACCAAATGCCCCTGAAGATGATCTAGGGATCGAAAGTATCTGGGCAAGATTAAATTAATTAACACTAGAAAGTCGGAGGGGCCAATTTGGCCACTGTCGCGATTTGAAGTTATTGTAGTTCTTTTATTTGACACAGTAATAATTTCATATTTTATGACTTTTAATATTTTGATACAAAGTCTTATTTAACGCAAAAAAATATTGTTTACTAAATTTTTAATTGGATTTTCTAACAAACCTAACATAGAAATCTGAAGGGGCCAAACTGGCCCTGTATTAATTATTATCGTTTTCTCGAAATTTGACGATTTACTTTTAACTTTCTGTCGGATAGATAAAATTATGTTTATGTACGTTTATTCCTAGGTATTTTGTTACATACTCTTGGTTCCTTGAAAGTATTTTGTTTATTGAGCGGTTTATTAGGTTCTGCTGACTCTCGTTTCTAGAATATTGAAACATTCGTTTAATTGTGAAAATTCAAGACGACTGTAAAGATGTCTCGTCGTGGACTATCAGAGCTTAAACTTCTTGAATAAATACGAAAAATACAAGACGTTTCGAGAGGTGAATCTGAATTTGCAAAAAATAATAAGTCAGACGATGAACAATACGTACCACCACAAAATAATGATTCAAGTGACTCTTATGCTTCAGAGCAGTTAGAAAGTTTTATTGTACAAGACTCACCAATTTATGTAAACACTGCTTCTACAACTCAACAGTACGAGTCAGCTAATTTTATCGTGAATCCAAGTGCATCTAAGCCAAGTCACAAAAAAGAGGTCAACAAGGAAAAACTATTTCAATTGGAGACACCGGACAATCGAAAGACGGAACCTGGTAAGATTATGATTTTTAGTATTTTCATATTCATTGAATGTTTGCTCATTACAGGACGCCGCGCTCAGCACAACATTTATCGGGAGGAATCAGGTCCCACGTTGTATGCAAAAAGGAATGTGAGGAACAATTGTGTGGTAAGTTCTTGGCATCTAATAATCAACGACAGTATGTTACATCATATAAAAAAATCACTATTGCAGAAGCACATCGATGTTTGAAAAATGACAGATGGACTATAAACTTTGGAAGAACTGGAGGCTGTCCTTGCTATTATGTACGCAAGAGGAGTCTACGGCGCCAAAAATTTCCTAACCAACAGCTTGTGGTCAAACAGTATGAGGTCCTTAGTTTTTTAGGCACACTATGCCACGAGACAGATTCAAGGATATTATAAAATATTCCAGATTTGACATAAAGCAAACGAGATCTGAACGATTCAAAACCGACAAATTTGCTCTAGCTTCTGCGGTTTGAAATGAATTTATAGAAAATAGTGGTGCATGTTACAAACCGGGAATAAACCTTACTGTGGACGAACAACTACTGCTTTCTAAAGCCAGGTGCCCATTCACACAGTACATATCAACTAAACGGATAAGTTTGGCATACAATTTTGGCTTTTGACATGCGTGGAATCAAAATATATTGTAAATGGTTTACCCTTTACTGGAACTGATCTTCTACGCAAGAAAGATACAAGTGTTGGTGAACATGTTGTTTTGCGGTTAATGGAAAATCAACTAGGAAAGGGCAAAAATGTTACTACAGATAACTACTTTACATCGTTAAAATTGGGCAAGGCATTGCAAACAAAAAAAATCTTGTGGGTACTTTGAATCGCAACAGAAAGGAAGTTCCTCTAAGCGTAAAGAGTAAAAATGGAGAATTATATGTTACCCATATATTCCAGAGCGACGAAAAGATAACACTTACTGCATACCAAGGAAAGAGTCACAAAAATGTGCTTTTGTTGAGCTCATTACATCAATCAGTGAATGTTGCTGTCGATGGAAAAAAACTTCCCCAAACAGTAAGTTTTTATAATAAAACAAAATACAGGGTTGATGTAGTGGACCAAATGGGCGTCTTTATACTACAAAAGTTGCTTCAAGACGATGGCCAATGCACGTGTTTTATAACATTCTTGACTTAGGAGCAATAAATGCATGGATTATTTATAAATAGGTTACCAACCATCAGCACTGTTACTGGCCATAAAAGAAAAAAATGTCGGTTAAAAATATTTTGTAAAGGAAATCATACTTCCAATGAGTGCCACGTCTGTAACAAGGCAATGTGTGGCAAATGCCAAAAACTGCAAACTGTATGGTGTTCCAAATGTTTAAAAATCAAACTAAAAAATTAAATCAAATTCTATCATCAAGAGTTTATATAATTTCTTAAAACTGTTTATTTTTATTTTTTGTTTATTCCAAATAAATAGTTAATTCTAAACTTGGTTTCTATTGATTTAGGAACTTGGGGCCAAAATGATCCCTTCGGGCTTTCTAGGTAGGTATGCTAAGCCCGAGTTTCTAGTGTTAAGCTGTACTTGATATTTTCCTTTTATTTGATCAAAGTTCATTTATTCGAGCATTCAACCTTATATTAAAATGTAATTAGCTGTTTCTGCTCTCGCAAAATAACCGTATTAGCTGAAAGAGAAGATTGGTACAAAAAAAATTCTCTAAACAGGCGGTATCCTTTTTCATAGCAATATTTTTTTAAGTAATTTGATCCAATAGCCTTTTTTAGAATCAAATAACCTTGAAATACTTGAAGTGATACTATCTAGCATATTATAATTTCAAAATTGCAAATAATAGTTTTTGTTATATTTCATTGATGAAGTGGCAAAATCATTTTAATACAATTGATAATCATATTAAAAATCGAAATAATCACTACTCATAAAAAATGGAATATAAGAGAACTTACTATCGCATCTGTCATTCAGTGTGAAAATACTTTTCTAAGGTAAGACTTATATTAAATATTGTTTTTTTATTATTGATATAAAACTGCACATTTTGTAAAAATATTTTAAGATCTTGATAAAACACCTTCAGTATAATCATTTTTATTTGAATATTATTACATTTTTTATTAATTTGGGATTTCATTCTTCTTCATTATCAGCCACTTTTTCAAAGCCGTACTTTTATCTAATTTTCAAAACGTAATAAACCGAGCTGTCATTGGTGTAATATTGATGCCAGATTCCTGTATCATTTTCGTTAAAATCCTTCGAGGTTGTTTTTTGTTTGCCAAGAAAATATATCAAATTTTTCTTTTGACTCGGTTTTTTTTTTTCCACCAAATTTTAGTTTTCGCTGTGAAGTCAAATCAAAGTTTTTCTTTATATGGTCCACAGTCTTAAAAATTTAGAAATTAATGCTATTTTTCTGTTGGAGTGATTAGTGTTCAATAATAAAGTTTTTATTTTCGCTAATATCCTTGGTGCGATGTCGTTGGCTTTTCCCCTGATGTTCTGGTACCACTGGTGTATAGAACACGCAATGTTTGCAAAATTCACAAAAAGTAGTATACGACTGTCAGAATATAAAGTAGATAGCTTCTTCTTCTTAAAGTGCCCTCTCCTCAATGGAGGTTGGCTACTACAATTTTAAACTCTTCTCTATCTTCAGCTATTCTTATTAGCTGTTCAAAATTTAGCCTTGTCCATTGTCGGATGTTAATGATTGATAGTCTTTTCCTTCCTAGGCTCTCTTTCCCTCGATTTCGATCGTCTCCGATTATTGTTTCGCACTTTCTATAAATACGATTATGTACGATTTTTAGTAGGACTTTTACTGCATGTCTCATAAGGCTTATCAGACGGAACTCATTGCAGTGTTGTGGGTTTGGCTTTTTTGGTAGTGACTCCAGCCAATCTTGGGGTATTTTACCTGTATCATAAATGCGATTGAATAAAAGGACAAATATTTCGATATTTTCTTCGCTGATTAATTTTAACGTTTTCTGTGTATATTCCGTTCTGGATCTGGGCTTTTATTTGTTTTGAGATGATTTAATTGCATTTATGATTTCAGATTTCAGAATTGCTGGCCCTTCGTTGTTATTTTCCAATCTTGGTTTCTTCTTGTATGTCGTGAAAAAGAATTTTATTATAGTTTTCCCATTCTTTCAGTTTATCTTCCGTTGATTCTAGCAGTTTGCCATCCGTGTTCAGCATGGTGTGAAAAGTCGTTCTCTTGGTAGTCGATGTAAACTCTTTTACCTTTTTATGTAAATTAAAAAAATCTTGCCTTTGTTGCAGTTCTTCTATTTCAACGTATTTTGTTCCAGCCATTTCTCTTTTGCTTTGGTTATTTTTTTTTCGAATTATTCTATTTAGTCTTTTGTATTCTCCGTCCTTGTCATTTTTTCCTTTAGATTCTCTTCGTTTTGTTTATTAATTGTAAAATCTCTTCTGTCATTAATTCCTGTTTGTTATTTCTAGGTGTTACTTTTAGATGTTTTTCCGTTACATTGTTTATTTGTTCTTTTCCTAAATTTCCTAAATTTTTGTTTAATTCTTTATTTACTGTCTGATGTATGGTGTCGTTTTTCAATACTTGGATGTCTAATATTTGGTGTTGAGGTTTTTGTTTCTTTATTAGTTTCCATCTTGCGCGAACTTTTGCAACAACAGGATTATGATCGGAATTGATGTCAGTTCCAGGATAATGTTTTTGCACTGATGATTGCATTGTGATATCTTTTGTTGACCAATATGTAATCTATTTGGTTACGGATTACTCTGTTTTAATTGTGTTGTGGTGAAGTCCAAGTGTACAATCTGCGAGGGTGTATAGAAGAGAGCAATGGAAACTATTTATGATAACTCGAAATGCCAAGAATACAAAATAATATGCACACAATGTTGCAGGCTAGACGGGACAGCCCTGACAAACAATGGCATCTGAGTCAGTGTATTCATAAAATGTTACAACAATAAAAAAAAACAAAGGAAATAATAAATTTTACAGCTCAATTATATACCCTTTTTGTAAAAAAATTGAATTTTACTAGATGGCCATAATAATTTGATAACCGACTGTAATTATGGAAATATCCGTCCGTTCAACTTTTTTGGTATCCACATAAATCAGAAATAATTTGCAAGCAGATGTATTTAATTTAGTTATGCCGTTGAACTGTGCATCTATTGAAGTCATTAGGTTGGTGTCCCTAAAGAAAAATGCTTAATTATTAAAGACAAAATTAATTTTGTTGTTGAAAATGGAAGATTCAATACAATTTCTATAAAACTCAATAAAAGCTTTGATGTTAAAAAGATGCAAGTGAACGTAATTCACAGTAGAGAAACCAATAAAAACTGCTGCAATTTGTTTTCCATTATCTAGTATTGCGCTGGTCGACAAACGATTCCCATAGGCCGCAACTTGGTACTAGAAATGCTGCTCACCATTTTCGGTCAAGATCCGCAATTTTCAGCGTTAACAGAGGTACTTCGTGAAGAACGTGGTTCTTTATCATGCATTACGGTCTTGATTAGAGAGAGGCTGAAGCTTCACTTCAATCAATCAAATACAAAGTCACTACCTCTCCAAACCCAAAATTTTTATATATGAAAAGAAATGTTTTTACAATTTAAAAATAGCTTAAAATTTCCTTTTTAGGTACTCAAAAATGAGGTTTCTTGTTCTTCTTTTAACATTGGCTGTAGCTGCAAATGCTCTGACTAGCCACGAAAAATGGTCCCAATTCAAGGTGAGTTATTTTTTATAAATATAGAATGTGAACTTAATAAAACTTAATTATTTTAATGTTATACTATAGTATGTCTTTATTACTAATCGTTTTGTTAAATCTCTTGCTGAATAATCAATTAAATATGCTGTATAAAAATTGTTTGTATACTCAGTTCGCTGATCTCAGTTCCAACTGTATAAACAAAGTATATTTTGCTACAAGCGTTAAGTTTTGATTGGCTAACATTTGCTGGAAAATACTATAGAACCACCGATACATGCTCATGGACAATATTTAATAAACAAAATACTCACATACAGTTTATGAACAAAATAAAACTGATTATTCTTGTTTTTTCAATTAAAGTAGTCTAAACAGTAAGTTCATTTGAGTTATTACTAGTGAGAGCTAGAAGAGATAAAGAGAAACATAACTTAACTTTATAAAATCTTTTACGTAAATTTTAAATTTATTTGCATACTTAATCATTTTGATTTTAGGTTGACCATTCAAAGAAATACGAACATCTAAGAGAAGAGCAAGTCCGTTTCCAAATTTTCTCTGACAACCTCCGCAAAATTGAAGAACACAATGCAAGATACGAAAGTGGTGAAGTGTCCTACTACCTGGCTCTTAATCAGTTCGCAGATATGACTCCAGAGGAATTCAAGGCTATGCTTGACTCTCAAATCGTTCATATGCCCAAACCAAACATTACATCTCGCTTTGTAGCTGATCCTCAATTGGATGTTCCAGAGTCAATTGACTGGAGAGACAAAGGGGCAGTTGCTCCTATAAGGGACCAAGGAGGTTGTGGATCTTGCTGGGCTTTTAGTGCAGTGAGTTAAAATTTAGTATAACATATATTTAACGTCTTTTTAATTGTCAATAATATCCCTGTCAATACCTTAGAATCAATGGAGTTGTTGTCAGATCAGCACTCTGACGGTTCTTCGGATGGTTGGCATCTAGTCAATGCCCAGATGCCGGTGGAGTTGCAAGTATATCAGCGCTCTAGCGGAACTTGACTTTCTCTTCTGACGTACGCTGCGTTATACCATTGGTAACCCTACATCTTCTCTAGCACTCATCGATGGAAGAGGAACTTGTGGTGGGAGTACGTGTGTACAGAGCGCTAACGATATGGAGACGATGCACATCGTTATATGATTTAACGAACAGAGCAGTAATAGAAATAATGACTATAAGAGGAAATTGCAGTGACATTTACAAAAAGAAAACAAGAATATGTCGGTCATATACTATGACATTATATATCTCAAACGGGGGTACGAGTTAAAAAAAACTGTTGAATGTAAAAACTGGGCTGCTAGTTCGACGTCATGTCTATTCAACTATTTAGAAAAACTGTTATATTTTTGCTAACATTTTCTAGTGTTACTTCTTTATTTTATTTTAGAGTAATATATATATCTACCATCATCATAAGTGGCTCGACAATCCACTGTGGATCTTGGCCTGCTAACAAAGAAGTCTTCACCCTTAATTTCACAATTATTATCGTTTTTTTTTAGATCTCCAGATTTATTCTAAAGCTTTGTATATACGATTTTTAATTTGCTTGTATAACTCTATATTTTTCATTTTTTAGGCTGGTTCTCTTGAAGGACAACGGTATTTAAAAGAAAATAAATTAGAAGTTCTTAGTACCCAACAATTAGTAGATTGTTCCAAAGGCTACCAAAATCTGGGTTGTAGAGGTGGTTATCCTCATTGGGCATATAATTATATCAAAGATAATGGTCTCTGTCTTGATTCCGATTACGAGTATCAAGGAAAAGATGGACAATGTAAGCAATGTGAACCGGTTGTTAAAAATATCAAAGGTTATCAATCTATCGATCAAACTGAAGAAGCTCTTAAAGAAGCTGTAGGTAAGTCACTGAAAAGCCCTTGAATATAAGATTAGTTATGCTTTTTTGTATGCAATTATATTATATATCTTTGTCATTATATATCTTTGCCATTATATATCTTTGCCTTTATAATTCTAAGCCATAATATTTAACTTATTTGATATCTGTCCTTATTATAAGAATGCTGTCTCCTGTTGCCGGCCAGAATGTAGCTTCGCCTATTTTTTATCAAATTTTAAACTGTTGTCTGTTATCATGCTATTGTAAATATTCATTGGCCCATTACAGTCAAGTCTTTTTCTGCTCTAACGTAAGGTTTTGTATTACTACTGGTCTTCTTGTTATTAAATTCGCCAAATGTAACCTGTTTCTAATATTCTGATCGCAAATTACAATATAACAAGCTTGCTGGAGCTCTCTTCTAATAGCTGGAGCAGTCATAGAGTGGTTTCTCCAGACAGTTAACGTTAAAAAGCGTTCTTGGACATTGGTAGTAATTCTGGGTCTTCCGCTTTTTGAACGATCGCCAACAGAATTCGTCTCTCGATATTTTTTCACAATCCTAGACACATCACTTTGATTAACACTAACCCGGACAGCAACGTCGACTTGTGTGTGGCCTTTCTCAATAAAATACCGATTCTAGCTCTGTTAAACTCAGATATCACTTGTCTATTCATATTGTTCACTATAAAGTGAATAAAACACAAACGAATTTTTACAAATATTGGTTTTCGAAAACTGATGAACGCAATATGAATACTGAGAATCTCCTCGACGATTAAGCAACAAAAAACAAGCAATAAAATACATTATTTTAGTAGACAAAAAAATCATGGCAAAAATTTCAAATGAGCAACGTTCAGTGGCGTTACAGATAATATGCAAAACATTTTTGAGGGTGTGTACATAACATACTTATAAACGTTGACTTTTTTAGGAACTGCTGGCCCAGTATCCGTTGCAGTTTGTGCTAATTTCGAATGGCAATTGTACGGAGGAGGTATCTTTGATCACGCTCTTTGCTTAAGTGATACTTTGAATCATGCAGTTTTAACAGTAGGATATGCCGAAGAAAATGGTAAAGATTTTTGGCTCATCAAGAATTCGTGGGGAACATCATGGGGAGAAGAAGGATATATTAGATTAGTTCGTGGTAAAGCACAATGTGGTATTAACCAATTGGCCAACTATCCTCTTCTTTAATTTGTATAGGTATAGGAAAATAATAAAGTATCAATTTGAAAATTATTTGTTTTTTTTATTTCCTTAACCCCTTTCGCTCCAGGCCATTTTTTGAGATAGTGAGCTCTATACCAGCAAAAGTTTTTTAATGAAAATGCGTTTTGCGATAGTTATGATGTATAATAGAAGAGATATTCATCGAGGGGAGCCAAAAAAATGTTTAAAGCAACTTGAATTTATATGACAATTTTTAGTGTTTACCAGAATATCCACAAAGGATATTTGGGTGTACCAGTATATCCACCCTTGGATATTAATTGTACTACAAAAATATCACATCTGGATATCATTTAAATGTATCTAAGTATGTATTTAATTAAAAGTTACGCCAAATATTAAGAAATAAAACATATATGAAAAAGACAGTGAACAATCACTATTCAATTATTCATATCAAAACAAAGCAAAAAATAACAGAACATTATTTTTATTACTTATAAAAACTTTCAAAATGTTCCGCTAGAGCAAAGTCCAGGTTTGTCCGGCATGCAATGCAACATTTTCTCGTTAGTTGACGCATTCTTCTTATCTTACAAATTACACAAACTTTTCGAGGAGCTCACTTTTTTCCAATTTCTTTTGGAAAATCGGCCATTGCATGCCACGATTTGCCAGATGTAGTAGGTTGACTTTCTTTATCATTTATTTCTTGATATCCTTTACTATATTTCGAAAGTAATCCTCCGGTAGCAGACTTTTGTATATTTATACATTGAAACTTATTTTTGATGATATTGGCTGTAAAATACTCTGGAATTCAATAGCATTAGATGTAAAAGGTGCAAACCTGTTTTGGCGAACCACGTGTAGGATTTCCGCAAAGGACTGTACGGTTCAACATCTTGATCCACTGCATCAACTGATCCTATATTTTGATTGTAGAATTCAATTTGTTTCGGTTTATTATATTTTATAGAATAATTTCCTCTACAACATATCGTTTTCTTTAGCAAAATTCTGCAGTATGTTTGCTGGTAAGCAGATAAACGTATTTCTTGTCCTTGTAGCGAACTAGAAGAAGCATATCCTTGTGAAACAAATCATGATTGTTTTCTATCTAATGGAACCAATGTTAATTCCCTTGGAACGCCCCTATTTGGTCGAAAAGTGCCTGTAAGAAAAGTCTTTGTGTCAATCATCAATCAGCCAATCGCGTTCACTGCTGGACATAGGCCAGCAAAGTTCTTTCCAGTGTTCTCTATACAGGGCCGCTTGTAGCCAGTTTCCCGCTACACGTTTTATATCATCGGTTCATCTAGTCGGTGGCCGTCCTCGGTTTCTTTTATAGTTTCTGGGCCTCCATTCCATAATACGTCTTGTCCACCGTCCATCTTGTGTTCTGGTTAAGTGCCCTGCCCAGTTCCACTTAAGCGTCGTGGTTCTTTCGATGACGTCTTGAACTCGTGATCTTTCCTGATTTGTTGGTTTGTTATATGGTCTCGAAGGCTCACGTTTCAACATTGCACGTTCCATGGATCTTTGTGTAACTCTGAGTTTATACGCAGATTTTTGCGTAAGTGTTTACGCAAAGACACATCTACGAGAACGCTACATCAAGTATACAACTACACGAAGACACAGAAAAATTCATCTTAGGTCGAGGAGTTAGACAAAGAGACAATATTTCACCAAAATTGTTCACGACAGATTAGAGTCAATATGTAAGAACACTCAATGGCAAGATATGGGCATCAATATAGATGGAGAAATATTAAATCATCTAAGGTTTGCAGATGATGTTGTATTAATCGCAGATAACTTACAGGATACAGTTTCTATAACACATTCGCTTGAAAGTCTATCTAAAAGAGCAGGATTAAAGATAAACTTTGAGAAAACTACGCTTATGAAAAATTCGTAATGAGTGGAAATATAACTATTGACAATAATACCATACAACAAACAGACATTTACAAATATCTGGAAACACGACAATCAAAATAAGCAGAGGCAATCAAACACATGAAATACAGAGGCGAATAGGCCTGACATGAGCATCATTTGGCAAATTAAGCCATATTTTAAAAAGTTCATCAGGTAGATAGAATCACAAAAGCAGAAGTGTTAAAGAAAATAGGCAGAGAGAAGGAAATGGAAAATACAATAAAAGAAAGGAAATTGCAATATATCGGACATGCAATTTTTCACAGCAGCTATCTCGAAGGTCAGAATAGCCATGATGATTGCCAACTTTCGTCGCGAAGATGGCACTTAAAGAAGAAGAAGTAAAAAGTTCAATTTCCATGTGTCTCAAGTAAAAGGTTTATAACCAATGTGTTTTGCCTGTACAAACTTTGTGTCAATAGAAACTCGCAAAAACGAACCTATGTATACCAGTTATCTACAATCACTTCACGATTACTGTTCAGTAGGTTTTGGCAAAGATAAACTACTATTTTTTTGGAAAAAAGAAAGGTTTTCTGTTCCTGAAATGTGCGATATGTCCTATATATCCTTGCCGATATACGTACAAAAATTCTAGGTATATTCTGTAAGTTCAGACGCACTGGAACATAAGGAAAATATTTGATGCCAAATCGACTTGTTTTGCTTTTTATGTACTGTCAAAAATGGAGACGACCTTTATACAACATAAGTTGCTGATCTGTTGCAAAAACTGGTCCTGGGTCCACTAAGTTTTGACGATTATCTCTAATAAGAACCATACAAACTCCTAGTCTGCTAAGCGATGCATTACTTTTGACAAGTTCTGTTGGTGAAAATCTAAGGCTAATCTAATTGCCAAAAAACGATTTCGGCTCATAACAGATTTATAAAAAAATGGAAGACTAGTGCATAAATTATTTGTACTTCAATAATCTGAAATTTGCGGACACTTGGTCAATCCACTGATAAAATATAGCGCTTTAAATACATACATTTCTTCTGTTGTCACTGGTTTATAAGTAAGACCAAAAACTTTGATGGCGGTGTGTGGATTATCATTAAAATATTTATTAGCCGTCCATTCGCATAGATTTTTAACAATACTGCTATTTACAAATGACTCAAAACAGTATACAGTTTCCATACAATCTTAAAAGTCAATATCTGGGTGAAAGTTAGAGTCAAAGCAAAATTCGGCATATCAAATCTCTTGAAAGCTCATCATCAAACGGATTCGTAACGGCTGTTTTTCATCCGTTGATCAATATCTGTCTGAATTGCTATCTGAATTGCTCTCGAAGTCACTATTAGACATTTCATAACTCAAATCACTTTAGTTCTTTAGATCGGAATCCATTTTTACTAATTTAAAACTTCGTTGAGATTGTAAACTTTTGTCACATTATCCTCCATGTTAGCAGATTTCTGGACACTGGGCGTGGCTCTCAATAACCGACGTACAACCACATTAAACCAATTTTTTAGGGATTGCCATCGAAGGAGAGGAGTCACTATACAAAACATTCAAGCACTCTTTAATTTGTTTGCGCGAATTCTCTTGCAAAAAAAAACAAGACTCAAATCCCCAACCGATATTGATCTTTTTCCATTGTTCTAAAATCAGTAGACACGCTCGCTTTCACAAGTGTTAGAAACAAAACAACAAGTCCAATTCAGCTAAAATTTTGACCACTAAAATCTAATAGATACAACATAAAAAAACTCATTGTGCCCAAGACTATGATATAGTGCATTAAAGTCCTTCTCCCTTTTAAATTCAATGTTTGTTTCGTCCCTTCTAAGTATTTTCTGTTTTAGTGTGTTTTAAATTATCCTTAATTGTTTGTATTTTAACATTTTATTTACTTGACTATTCCAATAATTAACTCAGTGCCAATAGAACTTTATCAAAGTAATTTGATAACTACAAGTTGTGAAAATAATTGCACACCCACACAATTTTTACATCTACACCTATTCATTGTCATAAAACTGTCACCTTCATAAAACAAAACAATTACTCAATAAATAACACACATTTCAAAAATATATCTCTGGAATAAGTATAAATAGCCTTTAATATCACAATAGTATATTACATCACTTACATTTAACAAACAATCTCACACATATCTCTGCTTCATTGGATCAAATCTATCTCCTCAAGAACTTCCCGTTTACTGTCAAACAACTGCAGTGATAGTATTGAGTTCTCCATTCAACAATATAAAGTAGTTTCAACCATGTTCTACCATCCATCTATTAATAGAGTACCGGCATCATTTGTTTAACTTTGTATCGAGACCTGAGGATGCTTTGCATATTGTAGAAAGCGAAACCGGTCGTCTGATAGTTAAATTAAATTGATTGTGTGTAAGTCTTATTTATTATTTCTTTACCTATTTGAAATGGACTCACACAAGCAACACATTCATGATTTAAAATTTTGACATTAGTCGTCTACGAGAATGTATTACACGATAAAAGATTTCTCTGGAGATAGTGGCTCCATCGGGTGGTAAGGCTAAGTAGTTATCAGACCGCCTACGTATATACCCGGGAGATGGATAATGCATTAGTACCAATAATTTTATCGTCTTGTGGCACTCACGGAATAGGCCAAAGTAAGAAGATTTTCTTAAAAGCTCAAACGGAATGTACTAGTTTCTAGTTTGATATTGTTCGCCAAATATAACACATTTCTGGGAGGAACTGATCAAATGAACCAGAATGTAAGTTGCTACCGGATCAGTATTCGGTTATATTTCATTGATGAAGCTGGCAGAATCATTTCAATACAATTGATAATCAATTTAAAAATAGACATATATCACCACTCACAAAAAAAATAGAATATAAAAGAACTTACTATCATATCTATCACTCAGTGTGAAAATACGTTCCTAAGGTAAGTTTATATTACATATTATTGTTTTTTATAATTAATTTAAAACTGTATATTTTGTAAAAATATTTTAAGATCTTGATAAAATACTTCAGGATAATCATTTTCATTTAAATATATTACTTTTTTCATTAATTTGTTTACGATTTTTAATTTGGAAACATTTTAATTAAGTCAAACAATTTTGAAATACAGTAAATTCTTTATTATTGGCCACT